CGTTGCTTCTGGCGCGTCTCGTATCTCGACTTGGGAGGAGAACGTCGCCCACTCCTGATCGCTGCGTCGGGCGTTGCTCAGGGATGCCCCGTGAGCGGTGCGATCTGGGCGCTCGTCTTCGACCCCATCATCGTCGCCATCAGCCGCGAGCTCAGCGCCATCCAACGCGGGCCCATCAGCGCCTCCGCCGACGACCTCGGCATCGCCCTCGCCAGGCTGGCCGACATCAGCGTGCTCGCCCCCCGCATGATCGCAACCGAGACCCTTGCAAGCCTCCAGCGCCAGGCCAGGAAGTGCATCGTCGCCCCGGCTTGGGCGCTCCCATCGCAAGACCTCGTAGTCGAGGTGCGACGCGTCCTCGCGGCTGCCCACGCCCCATGGTTCAACTTCAAGATCGAGTCTAAAGCCCGCGACCTTGGCTTCTACGTGGGCCCAAGCGCCGCGCTTGCTGACCAATGGCGTGGCCCCGCAGCGAAGTGGCGGGGCCGCGTGGAGAAGCTCGCCGCCTCGCGCGCCCCCACCCAGCAAAGCATCATGCTGTGCAGCGTCGCCGCTGCCACATGCCTGGGCTACGTCGGCCAGCTCTTCGAACCGCCCGGGGCGTCCTGCTGAAGGAGCTGCAGGCCATTAACAAGCTGCTGCGCGTCGCTCCCCCCAGCTTCGCCAAGTCCGACGTCCTCGCGGTGTCGCCCTGGACGAACGCGGAAGTCCCCAGCGGCATCGAGAACTGTCAGGCCGCCACTCTCTGGAGAACGGCGTCTACCATTGTGACAGACTGGAGACGCGCACATCGCGGACTTTGCGACACCGCATATGACCAGCTGCCCGTCACCACTGCGTTGCACGGCGCGCGGTGCCAACGACTGCTGGGAGATCAAGACCGCCATCGCCCAGCGCTTCGAGGGCGTCATCAGCTCCACCTTCTTCGCCGACTGCAAAGGATCACATCTCAAGGGCCTGACGCGCGCTGCTGGGCCTCGACCCTGCGCGCGAGCCTCCCTGATCGCCATCCACAAGCGCGCCGCCAGAGCAGGACAGCAAGCCATCCGTCAACGCCACGCCCCTCGCCTAATTACGCCAACAACCCGATCGCCATCCACGCCGCAAAAATGCCAAGATGACGCTGCAGAAAGCCTACATGAAGTCGCTGAACAAGCAACTCTACGTCGACACAGCGCAGCCTGATCGCGCGGCGCCCATACGCTGGACCCTGCCCGCCAACTTACATGAGAAACGCCATCTGGACCGCGACGCGAAGCTGAACGAGCCCAAGGGCGTCTTCTGAACAGGGCGCGCTCATGGGCCGCGCACTGGCTGCCTGACCGCCCGTTGAACGACCGACTCATCAACAACCACGACGACTGGAGGGATTGATGCGTCGCCGACTTGTACGAGCTGCTCGGCGCCGACCTGTTCCAGCCGTTGTTCATTGCCGACCCCCGACGACGCCGCATCGCCGTCGACATGTTTCAATCAAGCGTGGGGCTCCAGCGGCCCTGGACGCATTCTCCTGGAGCGCCGCCCGCCCCGCGCAGCAGCCCAGGGCGAGTCGCCGCGCAGCCGATCGCCGCGCAGTCGTACTTCGTTGCTCAGCCACGAGGCTGCCCAAGACCGTGCCCGACGCCGCTGGATTGCCCACGTCCTTCCTGCCTTTGCTGGAGCCCGGCGCCGACCCTGACGACATTCGCCGCGACGACGACGACTTGGGCGCCGAAGGCCCACCTGCCGACGCCGACGCGCATCGTGATCTTCTTCAAGTCCAGCAATTTCCTGATGACCCCCCCGCTCGGTGGATGCCCCCCCGCACCCGCCTCGCGACCCTGCCGCCCTCCAGGCTGTGGAGCGCCCGGGAGGTCCTCGCGGGCGCGTGGACGACCTCGCGCAGGATGCACGTGATCCCGAGCAAGCGCCCATGCCACCTCGGGCGCCTGCACGCCGCCGACAGCATCCAACACTACTTAGCATGTGAAAGGATGCGGCACCAGCTGAGCTTACCGCGCGGCCGGCTGAGCACCAACATCATGACGAGGCTCGGCCTCCCCGAGCTGACCGAGCCGTTCCATGGCGAGAACGGAATCCCGAACAGCATCGCCAGGCTGACCGTGGCCACCAGTGCATACCACCTCGCGAAGGACTACGACATCCCAACGACCTACAGCAAGCAAACGACCGCCGTGGCAGCCGCTCGCCGTGCCCTGAAATTGCCCACAGATGTCGGGCGGGGCTGGCGCGCCGCAGCGCGGCTCGCAGACAGACGCACCCCCTCAGGCGACGTTCGCTCCTCCTCCTCCTCCTCCACCTCTTCCTCCCCCTCGTGCTTGGCTCGTCCTCGTCCTCCGCCTCCTCCTCCTCCTCGTGCTTGGCTCGTCCTCGTCTTCCGCCTCATCCTGCTGCTCCTCCTCCTGCTTTTCCTCCTCGTCCTTCTCATCCTCGTCGTCCCCCTCCTCCTCCTCCTCCTCCTCCTCCTCCTCCTTCTCCTCCTTTTCCTCCTCCTCCTCCTCCTCCTTCTCCTCCTCCTCTTCCTTCTCTCCCTTTCGGAAAGCGCGCGGTTGCGAATGCGCTGGCAGGGGCGCCTGCGGGGGGGGAGAGCGACGACGGCGAGGAGAATGAGGAGGCCCAAGATGATGGGACAACCGAAACCAGACCCCACACCTCTCGGGACATTCTCGGCGCAGGAGGTGTCGCAGAAGCAGCGTTCCTGGTTGTCCACGGCTGGCTCGGACAGCTATTTTCTGCAGCCCCTTCCGCGCAGGAGGTGTCCCAAGAGGTGTGGGACGTGGTGTTCTCGAATCATCTGGTGTCTTTTGAGACCCTATCGGAGCGATTACCGGAGCTGTTCGGAGGGAGTTGCTGGAGGCCTTCCGGGAGCCTGTGGGGTGTGACTTGTTCCAGTCAGCTGGAACTTTCTAGGAGCCTGTCAGAGCCATTCCGAGGGTCCTGCTGGTCGCTGTCTGGGAGCCTCCGGGAAGTGCCCCTGAGGCCGTCCTGGAGCCTCTGGGGGGGTTCTTTGTGGTTTGCTGGCCGTGGTGACTGCGGGAGGCCCTCCATGGCCCAGCTGGCCTCCCTTGGGCCCGTCGTGGGGGTTCGTTCGGCAGTCTCCGGAGTCCCCCGAACCGTCTTGAACGCCTCTAAGGCCGTCGTAGCAGCTCTCTTGGGAGCTTCCTGGGCGCTTTGCGGACGATTCCGAAGGCTTCTCAGGGTGGGTTGGGATTCTCTTGGCCGCACGACCGATCGTGAGAGGAAGTGCCCGAGAAACTCGAGAATATCGATAGCTCGTCGTCCTCGTGGCCCTTTCGGAGGCCACGCGGGAGCCTTGTGGAACCTGGTGGGAGCCTTCTCTGAGAGCGGGGCCGCGGAGGCGCCGCCGCCGCGGGCCCGGCGTGCGCAGTTCATGGACCCATCATCTGGCACGCGCAGAGCCAGGCATCGTAGTACTGATTGCGTGTAGCACCGCCTTCGTCTCCCGCATCGCCCTCTGCAGCGCCAGCGCCCGCTGCCACTGCTCGCCCTTCTCGCACGCGCTGCTCCCAGTATTGTAGGATAAGCAGCATTGGGCTCGGCATTGCCCCGGCGCTTGCCGCCACTGCTCGCTTTCGTGCGCGTGCCGCCACTGTCTGCTTTCTCGCACAGGGCGGCCACTGCCTGCTGTCATTGCCTGCGTGTTTCGCCCGCTGTGGCCCATGCGCTGTAGCTGATAGCGTTTCTCTGGTTCGCCGCTGGTATCCATTGCGCGCCTTCTCACCCCTGCCGCCAGTGCTTGCTCTAAGTCGGGCCTGCCCCTCTACAGGGGGAATATTCAAAAATAGTCAAAAATAGTCGGGGGACTGTTTGTTTGTTGTTTTTGTATGTCTGGGCATCTTGGTATATTTGTTTGAATTGTTTCTCGTCCAAACTCAGCCTGTAGGGGGACAGGCCCGACTTAATGCTTGCTTTATTGCACACGGCGGCATCTTGTGCAATTGCAAGCGTTTCTCACGCTCGATAGTCCTACCCGTGAAGCTGGCGGCGTTCGTCGTCTGCTTTGGCACGAACGCTTCGCTGAGCAGCCTCTGTTCGTGCTGCCATTGTTGGCAGTTCTTTCATGTCTCGTCTTGGCGGCGAAGCTGATGACGCCGGCACCCGATGTGTGTCCCAGGTCTCTCGGCATCATATCAGCGTTATTCCATTGCCCACCATTCTCGCATGCACAGCTCTCCCACGCGTCGGTCTCTGCGCTGTAGCTGGCGACATGTTCGCTAGCTTTGTCGTCCCTGTCGCCTGGTCCCCCTATTGTGGCGGAGAAGGGGAAGGAGGGGGGAGGGGGAGGTAAGGGAGGAGGGGTATGGGCAAATACGGTGAAGAAGAAAGAGGAGGAGGACATGGAGGTGTGGGAGGAGAGGGAGGAACGGCAGGTGGGGGATGACCAGAGTAAACTCTGCAAGCACCAGCCGTGTTGCGGCACACCTGTTCCAAGCTCCACCCTGATCAGGGCATGGGTCGGACAGATGTTCCTCGCCACTGTGGTCACCGCCCGCTGGATCGTGAGAGCCCCACGGGCCTGTCACAGGTGCCAGAGCTCGGGAGGGCTGGATGAGTGGTAGCTGTTCCTGTGGCCCTTCAACGGTCTGGAGTCCTGTGTGCACTCCAGGTTGGTCAGGGCCCTCCGCAGGAAGTAGGCCTGTGCGAATTCATGATTCGAAGAAAACGTATATTGAATAATGTGCCAATCCAAGACACGCGTTCTCCCTGGTAATATTTTTGGAATCGTTCGATCAGAATCTGCACGATGCCCGGGCGGGATCTAAGCTTCAAGACGGCACGCTTTCCACCCGTACAATCGTGCTGGCCGACGGGACCGTTACGTTGGACTCGTGGCTGTAGTGCTGCCTCACGGTCGCCACGTGGATTCCCGTGACTCCGGGTCGCGGCAGAACGCTGGCGACGTCTCTGGCTAGGGTTCTCGTCAGAGAGGTCGCGGTGAGGCCCTCCCGCGATTCTGTAATAGCCCGCTTCGGCCTCAGGAGATATTGAAGGCTTCCGGGAAGAGGTTCGGGACCTTGACGAAGAGCCCAACGGGGACCTACATCATCGCCAGCAAATTTGGCACGGTGGCCTTTTTCGACGACCACCTCGCCACGCCGCGTTCACAGGTGCAGGACGGCTTCGGCGCCACGCTGGCCGAGGTAGTTACGACCAGCGATGGAATCTACAACGTGACGGTCAACCCTAACATAGACGCAGGACCCCACACAGCAAATCGCGTGCAACGTACGTGCGGGTTGGGCGTGATTGGGATTGGAACATGAGGGCCGCTGCAATAAGGTTCCTTGCACCTGGCTGCCCCAGTCGAAGTACTAATCAGAACATTGAGTGTCAAACCTCCAGCGAGAGAATCAACGTTGAGGGTTGCTTGCCGAAACGCATGGGGGAATCTCAGCATAGGCATGCTTTATGTGGCAGTGTCTAGTCAACGTGCCGCGATTCCTGTGGGGGCTCTAAGCCTGTTTGGGATTTCTCGCGGGCATGGTGGTAGCCTGTTGGCGACCTCCTGCAGTTATTCGAACCGTCTTGGTTCATTTTTGGACCGTCTGGTGGGTCCCAGACCGTCCTGGCCCAACGTTGATTTGCCCTGGAGCTGTCTCGAGCAACCTTGGTTCGTCTTGGTACGTCTCGGGGCGGCGTAGCCACCCCCAGAAGGCCCCCTTGCCACGCTCCTCGAGTCCATGTGGAAAGGTTTTCGAATCGTCCGGCGACCTTCGGTTCCTCCAAATGCGGCCTCACGCGCGCGAACCCTTCTCACTTGATAATCAGAATTTGTAGTCTTGAGTTTTGGGTTCGCACACACCATTGGCCCCTCGGGCCAGTCCTAGCGGCACAGCTGGTGGGATTCGAAAGTACTGTAAAATTCTTGAAATTGGCTTGAGTTGCATCGTGCCACGGAACTGTTGGTGAAACATTGTCGGACGGTAATTTTCCAGCAGGTCGCCCCTTGAGTGTGTCCTCTCCGCGGAAGACAGCGACGACGAGAAGGACAGTAATTTCGCCCCCTAGTTCTAAACACGTTGTTTCTGTGTTTGTACGTGCCCAGCATGCGGAAACCGTTGGCAGTTTATGAGCAGTAGTTTCGCGTAATTTGTGTTGCTGACGGGTTGTTTGTGGTTTCATTTGGACGGTGCCGATAATTATTGAAGGGTATTTCTTAAGGAATTGGTTCTTGTCAGCGGGATATCAGTTTGTTCTCTGCGATGCATGGCGTTACGGTACCCTGGGGATTCCTTGCTTTGTAGTCAGATGATGGGTTGCCCTTCGGGTTCCTTATGCTTAGTCAGATAAGGAAGTCCCCTTAGGACTCCTTAGTAATGGTGTTCTGCTGTGACTGGATGAGAAGGCCCCGTTTGGAATTTCTTGTATTGCAGTTAGAAGATATGATACTCACGGTCAGGCTCCCACCCATAGAAGGCATCCCATGCACCCCGTATATACGTTTCTCTCCCCCTACCGAGGCCAGTGTTAACCGCACCCCTCCGTGTATTTGTCCGTTCTATTTTGCACGATGTTTCACCCAGGATATCGAGAACTACCATGCACGCCAGTCCCAGTAATGCTCCCTATCCCTGTCAAACAGAAAAATTATGCGGTGCACGTGCATTGATCTAAGAGGTATCTCCTCTCCTAATCCCATGCGGCAGCACATGCGGGACACATACTCCGCGGCCGCGCGCGCATGTCAAACTCGTTCCAAAAACCATTGGTCCTCTCACCATTCAAGACATAGCTAATCAACTCACGGCTTTCACAGTCTTCCAACAACATATTAACACATTGTATTGTCCTTCAGCCAGTGCCGCCGATCCGGGGTTCTCTCAGCGTGACCCTTTCCCCTTGCCCCCCTTCCCCTTTCCCCCCTCCCACCCCCGTCCCCTCCGATCTGTTCCTCCTCTCTCCCTCCACTCTCCATTCCCTTCCATCCTCCGCCATGTCCCTTATCTTGCCGTTTCCGTGCTCTCACACACAGGAGCAACAACCTAATCACATACCACCACTAACGCTCCCTTCGCCTCAACTCCACCACAGGCACGCACGCACGCTCGCACACGCACACGCACGCGCACGCGCACGCGCACACGCACGCGCACACGCACACGCACAGGCACACACAGGCACGCACCAACACACACGCACGCACGACCCACGCACACACATACACGCAGACACAGACAGACACAGACACACTCAGACACACTCAGGCACGCCACACACACATACACACAGGCACAAACACACACACAGACACAATCCACACAACACACACACACATCCACACACCACACACCGCACACCACACACCACACACCACATACACACGCACACACACGCACACAGAGAAACCACCTGCATCCCCATCCACCACTTCACCTCACCCCGCCCCACGCCACGCTACCCAATTGCACACTTTAGCTCCATGCGCGCTAGGCCACCCACCCATCCACCCGACGCGCACACAGGCACACAAGTCCCCACCGTTCTCACCATTTTCTCCTCCCCCGCGCCCCCCTCTACCACCACGACCACACACAATCTCCACCCAACCTCCTGCGAAGGTGTGCAACCTATGTAGTGCAAGTTATGGGATGCACTCCATGTGTTGCAATCTACGCGGTACAGTCGACGTGGCGAAATTCCTTGGTGCAAGTTATGTGGTGCAGTGATCCATATGGAACAAGCGATGTTGTGCGATCTATGTGGTGCAATATATGTGGCGCAAGCTATATGTGGCTGTACAATGCAATGCAGTGCAATGCAACGCAATGCAGTACAATGCAATGCAATGCAAGGCAAGGCGATGCAATGCAATGCAATGCGATGTAACGCAACGCAATGACAACACCATGCAATGCGTTTGCATCTCAATGCCATTGCAACCATGACGACCAGAGCAAGTGAGGGGAGCGGGCTATAGCCAGTAGGCAAGGTAGTGGGGAGGGCCCGCAGCGCGCCAGGGGACGCGGTGCCCGCCTACGTGTAGGCCCGCATAGTCGGTCTTGGAGGCGACGATAGGAGCGAGTAGCCCGGGGGGAGCAATACACATATCCAGGGGCGCCTGTGGTCCATGTTTTCGGCAAGGCTCACCGACGAACACGTGTACTGCCCGCCCTTGAGCTATTCGCCCTTATCGTCGCCTCTGACGCTCGGAGGTGGGCCAGGCGAGACAACGGCGTCCGCGCGAACTCGGTCAGCGCTATGCGGCGCGCGGCTCCGCGACAAGCACTGTGCGGCATGGGCGCGCGCCGCCCGCGCCGTCAGAGACAAGCTGGGCCAGACGTGGAAGGCGCATGCGCGCGCAGCACTGCATGCGCAAGGCGCCTGGAAAAATATGCCGGCGCACGGGCGAGAGAGCCCAGCGCGCTGACCGCGTTGCCCTATTGTCGCGTCGTCGCTGCGCCCGGGGAGACTCAAGGCTCGAGTTCGCTGGCTCTCGGATTTGCCGTTGTTTCTTGACGAACCCGTGTTTTCGTGGAGTGTTTGCAGCGAGGGCTCGCGTCAAGTTTCGGGCTGAGTCTCGTCACCCCTGCCCTGCTGGCATCGCCAGGCCAACCCGCGTCCCCCGAACCCTAGTCTTGCGCCTCTCCTGCTTGTCGTTTGCCGTCCTATTTGGGCCCGCTGGGAGGCTTTTCGTCACCACGGCCGGATCCGCATGGGCATGCGGGCCAGGATCGGCCCTGGGAGCGGACCGCTGCTTCAACAGAGGAGGACGGGGCGCCACGCGTCGCCACGGCTGGGCTCAGCTCGTTCATTCGATGCGTTTGGACCCCGGGAGGGATCCGAGGACTGAGTTTCGGCCGCCGTGGTCTCAGCTCGCCATGCTCTGAGCAGGAGCGTTCGGTTCTCGCGGAAGTGGCGCTTGGGGCCGCGTTGGCTTGGGCAGTGTGTGCTCCAGGGCGCGCCCTGTGTCGCGTTCTGACGTCAGGGTCCGAAGGAGGAACGGCATGAGCATGGATTTTCGGAGCCCTGGCCCTAGCCCCTGGGCCCCTGGCCCTGGCCCCGGCCCCGGCCCCGGCCCAAGCTCGAGCGCCGCAGCCACGGTTCCGCGCCCGGCTCCTGCCCCGGCCCCAGCCCCAGCCTTCGCTGTGGCTCCCGGCCCGCGGCCCCTGGCCCTGTGCCGGCTCCGGCCCCCGCTTCCTGGCACACAATATCCTCGGCCCTGGCCCCGACCCCGGCCCCCGCCGGCCCCGGCTCCCCTGGCCCTGGCTTGGGAACCGGCCTCCTGCCCCGGCCGCCCATGACACGATTGCTAATGCTACATCTCTTATTGCGCCTGCTTATCGTCGTCGTCGTCGCTGTTGTCTTATTTTTTTCTAGATCCGTCTGCTCCCAAATTGGACAGAAGGCCCACCTTCGGCCGTGAGTCTTGAAGCCTTCCTTGCCAGGACTGATCATCCTCGGGCTGTTCGCGATTGACAAGATGAAGCGGCCAGCGGCCTGATGCTGTATTGCCCCGTCGCCCTGCACGCGCCGGTACCGCAAGAGGACTCTCTGCGATGTGGCACTACTTTAATTGCACAAAATGCGCTCCACGCCCCCTCCTATTCGGGCTTTCTGCTTGTCATGCTTTCCGCTTAGGTCTCCGAGCCGCTCTTCGATACCTTCGCCAGATTTTGTTTGGGGGTCCGTTGTGCCTGGAATTTTTGGAGGGGCTTAGATGTTCGAGGTCGTCAAGCAGAGCCCGTCCGCCCATCACTCGGATCAATGCCCTGCGCCCCTCAGCCTGAAGCAAGCGTTCTGCCTCCTCGCCACGCTTCCCCCCCCTTCCTGCGCCGATCGTCTCCGTGGTGGGTCGTCTCTGGCGGGCGCGCCCCCCCAGCCCAGTGTAGGCCGCAGCGTGTCATCGCTCGCAGAGATCGTGTGTACATCGGCAGCGTGGCGTCGCAGCAACAGCGCGGCGGTGGCGTCAGCAATGCTGGCAGTGGCGGCGCGGCGGCTGGCGACGGCAGGGCGGCGCCGCGGCAGCGGCGTGGCGGCGGTGTGGCGACGTTGGCAGCGGCGGTGGCATCCCGGAGCTTGATGACGATCTCGGAAATTCGATGATTCCCAACCATCCTGTGGTGCTGGGTCCACATTTTGAAGAGACAGCGCCCCGCGTTCCATCTCCTCCTGGCCCTCGTCCCAATTTCGGCACACCCCTGACACGCTTCGTGGCCCCACAGGGGGCTCCACCGGAGGGCCCCATGGTTGTGACCACATGTGCCCGCGCCAACCACTACAGCGCTTCTTGGCCCCTTAGGCAGCACCACCGAAGGCCCCAGTGGCTGTGACCACATGCGTCCGCGCAGTTCTTCGTGGCCCCAAAGGGAGCTCCACCGAAAATCTCGTGGCTGTGACCACATGCGCCCGCGCCACCCAGTACAGCGTTCGGTGGCCTTATAGGGAACTCCACCGAAGGTCCCGGGGCTGTGACCACATGCGTCCGCGCCACCAATACAGCGATTCGTGGCCGCATAGGTAACTCCATCGCAAGCCCCAGTGGCTGTGACCACATGCGTCCGGGAACTCCACCGAAGGCCCCAGTGGCCGGGACCATATACCCCCGCGCCGCCCAGTACAGCGCTTCGTGGCCTCCTAGGCAGCTCTTCCGAAGGCCCGAGTGGCTGTGACCACATGCTTCCGCGACTCAGCAACATCCTCTGCTACAGGGATCGCAGGATTATGCGCTTGATATGCTGCGTTTTATGGTGGCACAACGATTAGCGGATCAACTCGAAGCCTGACTCGACGCTGCTTGATGCCTTCGACCGATCGTGGATCCAGCTGTTCGGAGCGATGGCGACGTCCGTCGTGGACGGCGAAGGCCGCGCGGCCTCGACGTACTTCGCGGAGGAGGTGAAGAGGCGAGGGGTCCAGGTGCCCATCAGAGCTCCGCGACAGCACACTCGTTTCATCGAGCGACGTGGGGCTGTGCCACGACGCGCGCTTCGCGCCAAAGAGTAGCAGCTGGATCGCGATGGTATGACAGCCAGCTTCGACTCTACAATTGCTCGCGCGATCTTCGCGGGCAACATTTCCCGTGTTGGCGGCGTTGCGCCGTGCAACGTCGCTTTCGGAAAATTGCCCTCCGCGCTGCCGCCGTTGGAAGCAGACAGAGCGGGTGAGGTATCCGGTGTCTTTGGCGCCGGTGCCGGCGCCTTTGCTGGTGGGGAAGTGCAGCCCCGTCGACTGCAGTGGCGAATCCGCCGGATAACACTGCAGCGCATGATCGAGGCCGCGTCCACCACCCGCGTCAACCGCGCCCTCCGGACACGCGCCTGGGAATCCGGAGAGGGCTTCTTCAACGTTAGCGATCAGGTGGAAATGCACCGGCCCCCCAGCACGAAAGACGCTCCAGGCTGGGCTGGCCCCTGGACACTCGCGTCTGTCGACCTGGCGCGAAGCAAGTTCACGGCCAAGTACGGCCGAGCTGACGCGGTCTGCACACTGCAAGACGCGTGGCCCTTCATCGGTTCCGTCTTCGACGACCCAGGCACCAGCGTGGCGCGAGCTAGCCTGGCCTGGGACCGAGTGGTGGAATTCCTGGGGCACGTCACAACGTAAAAGATCTCGCAGATGCTTTTAGCTGCCCGACGCTCGGGCCATGCGTCTACTGTGCGGCCAGCGATCTGTGGGCGATTGACCAGGCTGCGCCCTCAGCGTAGTCTGGTGGGCCCCTCAGAACCCAGATAATTTTCAACATGTTCACCCCGACGGCGTCAGGTTCGACGCCGTTGCAGTCATTGGCGAGCAGTGGCGCGACGCTCACACCATTCAGTTCATGTTGGGTCACGCGACGCTTGTGGCAGCAGACGCAGGATGCGATCCGTCCAGATGGAGCGCTCGATGTCGATGTCACCGACGTTCCAGAGGACGCTGCCAGCACCGCTGAAGGAGGACCCCTATCAGCACAGTCTGCTATAACCGAGGAGACCGGCAGCGACGTCTCCAGCCACATCCGGCAGGCGATGTTGGCAGCTTGGCGCGAGGTCGAGGGGGCAGGGGATCCGGCCTAGGAGCCGGAGACGCTGGGGATCGATGACAGCCCGCAAATGACCTGCGCCGCTATCAGGCACGCTGCGGCCGGACTGGGCCGCCGGCCACGCGGGTGGCCCCAGCGCCTCGAGAAGCGGCGCCAACGTCGGGGCATCTACGCGCAGCGCCACCACTACTTGCGCGGGGCCGCCTCGGACGCCTGCGCCGCGCTAGAGGAGGAGGGCGAAAAAGGATGACGGGAAGACGCGTTTGCGCCTTCGCCCGGGGGCGCGCGAGGTATTCCTGCGCTTCGTCGAGGAAGCGCGCGGCAATGATGTTGCTGGCGTTTCCAGACAGCCGCGCATGGCGCGCGCGCCGCCGTCGAGACCGCGGCCGCCGAGCGAGGCGCCGACTTCCAGGCCGAGGAAGATGTGCCCAGGCTGTCGCAGGATGTGGCAGCAGCCGCCCTCGCGGAGCTCACCATCTCGGTCAAGTGCAAGCGCTTCGAGGGGCGACCGCTCATGGGCACCCGAAACGTCGCGGCCCCCCCGCGCGTCTTCAAGGGGAAGTGCCAGAGGTGCCCGACGGCAAGACCACGAGGATCATCCGGCGCCGCGCGGCGACCAGGGGCTTCCGCGACGCGGGCGCCAGAACCCAGGAGACGTTCGCAAGGGCGGCGATGCGCGCCCGACAGCGCCCGCTGTCCCCGCAGGCGGCGCGCCGTCTGGGCTGGGTCTACTACGTCGCCGTGGGCGTCGAGAAGGCCTTCCCGCCAGGCACCGGGCACGCCCGGAGGCACGGGCAAGGCGAGGCACCGCGCGGCGCCCATGTCACCCGGCCGCCCAGCAGCGCAGCCATCTTCAGGCAGGTGCCCGGCTACGAGTCCTGAGACGAGCGGGCCGCCGCGCGCCCGCGCTGAATCAGGCCGGGCGCGGGCTGCAATGACGCTCCCCGAGCCCTCTCCGCAAAGCTCGCCCGGGTCGCGCGCTCGCCGGGGCGCGGCGCCAAGCCGACCGAGGGAGGCCTGGAGCTCGAGGTCAAGCGCGAGTCGCCCAGTGCTTGTGGCGACTCGACGCCTGTGCTCATGCTGTCCAAGCGCGTTCGCAGTCTGGAGATCGCTGGACACGCAGAGCACGTTGACCGGCACATCGGCCATGTCGAGGGCTTTGTCGGCAAGTTGAAGGGCACTTGCGACGACTTCGCCACGCGCGGAGTACACCGACGCCGCCGCGCCGATGGAACGTCGGCGATTGACCAGGACGGGTACATAGACGCCCTGATACCGATCAGGCACGTCGACCTGGTCAAGGCGAAGGCCGACGATCCAGCCAGAGGTCAATTACCAGACCTCTTTGTCGCCTTGCTTGGAGGAGCAGCGCGCGCCCTGCTCACCCAGCACTACTTCGCCGCGTTCATTGTTGCGATGCAGAGGGCCAGGAGCAAGCTGGCGATGCGCTGCGCGACGCAGCTCAACTCCGTGGCCTTTGCCACGCAGAAGACCAAGGCTCGCGTCGCATAGGAGGAGACAGAGTGCGACGTGAGGGGGGCCGCGTATATTCGCCTTGCCATGTGCCGCCGCACTGGGAAGTAGGTGCGCGACTTGCTCAACGCCGTGAGCCGATCGCACATGCTCGCGTGCAGGTCATAGTCCGGTTCGGAGCTGGTCGCAGCCTGCGGAGCAGTGGACGGCGTCCTCTCAGGAGACCAGGGGTCTGAGGGAAGAGGGAGGCTATGCAGCGCCTGCAACGCTGGTCGTGGACAGCGCGTCCGTCTCCACAGTATCATCGCCGTCCATGTGGCGATTTTCAGATCGATTCCGCACCAAACATATCGGTGGCAGGTTTTGGTGCTACACCCGTGACATGAGGGCCGATCCCATGTGCCATGGGTGCATCGGGATAGAATTGGTCCTCAACATCATGAACGGCCAGGCCAGCTACTACCACGACGCCGTCACGCTGAGGGAGGAGCGGCACAAGACGCGAACGCCTAGTTCTTAGCATAGCAGTCTCGCCACTGTCAAGGGCGTCCAGAATTACGGCGTCACTGGTACGCCCAACTTCACGGGCAACGGTGGCCCGAGCTCACAATGGCCATGCCATCGCAGCCCACGGCCCCAGCGATGGAAGGGATGACGCAGACGCTCGCGAGCCGTGAGCTATGTCCGCGAATGCTGCGTAGTAACGCATGCGCGTGGGTGGGTTGCTTCCATAACGCTGGAGCAGCAGGCGAAGGGACAGTGAGCATGTAAGTGAAGGGAGCGTGCTCCATCGAGCTGTCTGCTGCCATGCAGCTTTATATGAGGCGCCGTGGGTTGGCGCATGGCTTGCATGAGCTGGCAGACGAGGCACAATAGGCTCGATCGAACACCAAACTCGAACGGTACCTGGGTTTCCCCCGTGACGGGCGACGCGCTCTTGTCCGTTGCAATATGCCTGTTTCCCTTGCCTGGCTTCATTGTGGTGGTTTGGCTCAAAGTTTGCCTCCCGTGCTCGTTTGGCACACGTGCGGTACCCGTTTGCCCGCTCGATTCTCAAAGTTGTTTGTAGCAAAACATCATATCCACCTCTTACATCCCATTACCTAGTCTCCTCCTCTTCCACAACGTCCTTCTCCCTCTCCCCCTCCTCAGCCGCCCCCCTTCCCTTCCACAGGTTGGCCAGCATAAGGTACGGTAGCGGCCATAATGAAACTGATAAGTATTTTGGTCATATGAGACACATCATAATTCATTCACGCTATAAAAATAGGATGATGGGGGTGGTGGTGATTGTGGTAATGGTGATGATGAGAATGGTGACGAGAATGCGGATGCTGGATATGATGGCTGTAATGGTTGAAGCGGTGATGAAACTATCGAGGACGCACATCATGACGATGATGGTGATGGTGATGCTTATCATGATGATGGTGATTGTGATGGTGATGATGATGATGCTGCTGATCATGATGATGATGCTGATGATGATGCTGATGAGGGGGGAGGAGGAGGAGCAAGAGGAAGATATTGAGGGAAAAGGAGGAGGAGGAGGAGGAGGAGGAGGAGGAGACGAGGAGACGAGGAGACGAGGAGGAAATGGAGTCGAACAGAAGGAGAAGGAAGGAACGAACTTGAGCATGAGGTGGAAGAAGGGATGATGGGGGTGCTGGATAAGGAGTACAGGGGAGGGCAGAATCGAAATCATGCCGATATTTTCCCTTCCTCCCTCGTGCGATTCGCTTCGTGGCTGTTGGACCCCGCGCCAGCGAGTGCTCATCGAAGGAGCGCCTCAAAGTCTGATTACGCAGCTGTTTTGGGTCAGAGCAGCTTTTGCTGCTGGAGCGGCCGTGCGTTAGGAGACTCGTGACCTGCGTGCTCCCAGTGTTCCCGATCCCTCCCTGTCTCTCCCCGCGTCCCCTGCCCCTCCCGACCTGCGTTCCCCCCGCGATGGCGCTGGGACCCGTCGCAGCCCTCTTTCTTGTTGCGCTGTGTGTGTTCGGGCTGCCAACGCGGCATCGGCGGGAGTTCGTTGCCCCGCGGCGTACAGCGGCCTGTGCGGGGGCGCCGGTGCGCGAGGGCCCCCGGTGGAGTCGCGCATCCCGTGCCGCGTTCCAGGCCGACGACGGGCCAGCCGTTTGCCTCGACGCGGAGTCGTACAACTGCTGGGCGGCGTCGCACGGGGCGAGCTTCCCTAAGATCGAGGTGCGCGCCGGGCAGGCAGGTCTCTGGGGCGCCGTGGCCGCCGCACCCATGGAGCCGCTGGAGGTGGTCGCGTCCGTTCCCATGGCGATGGCGCTCGCCGTCGACGCCGGGCCAGAGTGGGAGGCCCGGCTCACCGAGCAGGCCCTGCTGGCCCGCTTCCGCCGCATGCGGTCCCCGCCGCACCCGTGGGTTGCTGGGTGGCACCGCGGTGGCTGGGGCACAGACCTCACCGACCTGATACCCCGCGACCGCGCCAACGTGGTGGGTGGCTCCCTGCTGACCACGGGCAGCGACAACGACGTCGAGATCTATAGGAAATTCGGCCTGCCCTGCCACCCAGTTTTGGACCGCGCCGCCAGGGCTTTGGAGGCCTGGACGGGCTGTTCCCGCGCAGCTGCGCGGAGCGCTCTCAGGTCGAGGGGAACCGCTTTCCGGGCCTGCCGCGACGAGCTGGAAGGTGTGGTGGAGCTGTCCGTGCTGCGCGCAGGAGAGCTTCCGGGCCAGTTTCTGAGCCAGCGGGAGCAGCGCGTCTTCCAGGTGTCGCGCTACTTCTCGCTCGCGCTCGCCCGAGCCACGACCCTGGCTCCCAGCGAGTACACCCCCGCTGGCCTGGTCGCGGTCGTGCCCTTCCACGAGGTTCTGGAGCATTGTGGGGCGATTGGTGAAAACACCAAGCTGGTCCTGGATGCAGAGGGCCTGAAGCTGGTCGCGGCACGCAGGATTGGCAAAGGAGAGCCGCTCACGCGGGACTACGCCGCGTCGCCGCGTGTGGCCGAGGTGCCGTCGCCGCCGAACACCCCGACTGGCGGGAGCGTCACCCGGCCGCCAGGCGAGGATGATATTGCCTTGCAGATGCTGCTGCAGTCGAATATCAGACCAGGCGCGGCAGAGCGTTGACGCAAGCAACAAAAATGAGCTCCGTAGGTCTCTGAAGCAAGTCTCCGCTTTCGAAGCCAAGGCGGGACACATGCGATAACAGAGGGGCCTTCCGTGCAGCCTTGCTTGATAGGACAACCCACCCCCAGTAGCCTTTTGAGCACCCTCCCCCAGCATGCCGCGATGCAGGGTTCTTCGGCCCTCGCCCGCTGCAACCTGAGGGGTGGCACCCCAGTTGGAGGAGGTGGAGGAGAGATGGAGAAGGAGGAAGAGGATGAGCAGGACGAACCTCCCAGGCGAGGAGTGGGTTGGGGAAAGCCGTGTGCGGTGTTAGATTCGCAGATCGCACATTTGCTTCGGTATCCCTGGACTGATGCTGGAAGCCATCTGGAGCTAATCCGGGCCATCTGGCCCCATCGTGGATGCCAAACAGCCCCTATAGATCGTTGAACTCACCCTGATACGGAGGGAGGGAGGGAGGATCCGCCCTGGTCCCTCCTCCCCAAAAACCGCCTCGGCGGCGGGGAAGGATTCACGGAGGAAGGGGCCTCCCTTTCGATCACGATGTTGCTCGATGTCTTTTGTGCTGATGCGCATGGAGACGTCCCCACGTTTGCCGATGTCCTTGGATTTGACGTGCATGGAGACGTCCACAAGGTAGCCACAGGGAGAGGGGTCAGAGAGCTTTAGATCCGCACTGGAGCTGGATAGGTGGCCGTCATCCTCTCCCACACGTCGGCATCGTCTGCCGACAGCGTCGGCGGATTTGGCGGAAGGTCCCCATTGCCTGTCAGGGTTTCTCCTGTTGGGTCCCTCTCAGGGCGCTTCTGGGGGCCTCTTGGGACAGTCTTAGGGGCCCTTTCTAGGCGGTCTTTGGGCCCGCTTGGGCTGCCTTGGGGCCATGTTGGGGGCCCCTGGGGCCGTCTTGCAGCGATCTTGGAGGCCTCTTGGGCCGTCATGGGCGGTCTGAAGCTCAGAATGGCGAGATTTGTGTTGTTTGTTCCCAGCACTTGAAGACAATCTACTGTCCTTGCCCCTGGTGGACTGGGCGCACCTGCATTGGGCCAGCAGCCAGGTCACTGCCCATGCGGCGGTTGAGAGAGCCCTTGTACGAGACGTCCCCGTATTGGCTCCACATTCCTCAAGAAGAGGGAAGCGTCACCTTTACGACCGACGCGAAACCTTGAGCACACTGGGATTGGCGGAAGGGCTTCGAACATCGCGCCTGTCAGGGCGCAGACCGCGGGCCAAGTCCAAGCCGCCGTGGGGCCCCCTGGAACTGCCTCGTGGCCACCGTAGGCCGTATACTGGATATCCCGCTTGCGCGCCAGGCAGTGCCAATTGCAGATCGGAGCCGCTTAGGGCCACCTCGGAGCCAGCGCGGGCCGAATGCATGCTATCCCAGCTCCGCGCCGAGCGGACCGTGGATCCCTGAGAGCCGTGAGAGCACGCTACCCCTGCCGAGAATGCAAGCCGCCGTTCCCGCGAGAGCTCCTCGAGCCATGAGCCCGATCTCTGATAGAATCGCCTGGAGGCCCACCAGACAAACAATAACTGAACCGAGGGACTCCGTCACAGTTGCAGATTTACCTCCCCAGTGAAGTCTACGGTTTCGGGGATGCGAGAATGAATGAACGGTGTTTCTTGGTTCCCTATTGTGGGTCCTCCATGGGTCCTTGTCGGGAAATCCCTGGGGCCATGCGTCGTGTAATCTCGCAGCCGACGTTGTATTAGTGGCATCGTTCCAGAGTTCACCGCCGCCTCACTCCGCTTCCTTTCCGCAGCATCCTGGCAGTTGTTGCGCCAGCAGCGTCCAGGATTCTCGTGTTTCATCTCCATTGCTTTCTCAAGAGGCTTAAGGCTTAACCTTCTCCGCCGATTTCACGAAGAGGAGATGCGCGGCTTCCGATGCTGTATGTGTTGTTTGCCGCCTCCCGCCGTGTCGTTGGCGCGTCGTTGTTGCTGATTAGTTTTTCTTTTCCTCCGCATTTGATGCGCGGCCTCTTGGGGGCATCTTGGAGGCCCAGGGACAGAGATCTTGGAGCGTTTTTAGTGCTCATGGGGCCTTCGGGGGGGCCCCCGGTGGCAGGCCTCTTGGGGGCCTCTTGGGGACCTCTTTGCGAGCATGTTGGGGGTCGTGGAGGCGATCCTGGTCGGGGAGAAGCCGACTTAGGCCGATAGCAAACTAATTAAGCTTGGCGGGCGCAGCCGAGACAGTAGTGCGAATAGACTTGAGAAATGTGGATGGTCCCGAATGACAGAGAGTATGCGCCCGCCAGGCCGCATGTTGAGTGGGAAAGGGGACCAGTACGGTCAGGTCGGCCTATGGGTACGAGTCTAATCCAGACACCTCCGCACCCACGTTCTAAGCATGCCCACACCTGGTTCTCGGGACTCCAACGCCACGGATCAACCTGACTGTTGCGTCTTGACGATCCTGAATTGTGCCAGATCGTCATTCTTGGGATGTCAACACAGCGAACGAACGTAATTGTTGCACCCGCATAATCATGAAACTTTCCAAAACACCGTTCGCGGTACGTTGATGATGGGAGGCCGTGAAGCTCTTGCAAACTCTGTAAACGAATATGCGCGGCGCTAGCGCGACAGCCACATTTTGAAAGGAATCGCCTTCAATCCGTGAAACTAGTGCAAATGTTTAAACCGAATGTGCGCTGCGCTAACGCGACAGCTACATTTTGAAAACGGATTGCCCTCAATCCGTGAAGTTCTTGCAAATATTTACAATGAGTGTGCGCGGCGCTGAGGCGAGAGCTACATGTTGAAAGCCACCCGCCCTCCGTCTGTGAAGCTGTTGCCAATGTTAGCTTCAGAATCAGCTGTGGTGGGGAAGTCTCAGGCGAAACGCCCGGCCCGCCCTTTCGACCGGCCTCGGGGTGCGACAGGGGAAAGTTAAGGAAAAGAAATAGAATAGGAGGAGGAGTAGGAGAAGGAGGGGGAGGAGGAGGAAGGCCGTGTGCCTCCTTGGGGGCGGGCGTCTGGGATGCGACCGGGCCGGGGCTGGGGCCGGGACCGGAGCTGGAGCCGGGGCCGAGCGGGAGGACGGGTCCTGAGTTCCCTTGCCGACAGGGAAAAGACCAACCCCTGTCGCTCTTCCCGCAGGGGGGACCGCCTGGGGAAGGGAAGGGAGTGCCGCTTGGCGCACTGCGAGGGCCCAGCGGGGGGTTACCGCCCCCTCAGGCTGGGTGGGCGGCCCCTGTACACCCTCCAACCCCCCGTCAGGGAGGGGATAAGGGGAGGGAATCGACTTAATACGGCGTTTCTCCTACGTTGTTTCTTTTCTTGGTTCGTTCTTAGATTTCCTTGGGACTGGCGACGCCGACGACGAAGACGACGACAGCGTCTCACGTCCTCGAATTTCAATTGGGAATCTGCAGTGGCATCCACAGTTCCAATATTTTGACGGCTTGCAACATGTAAATGTTTGCTGTGACTTAGGCATTTGCGTGTGCCTGTGCACTTCGTGTTTGCGTGTGTGTGTGTGTGGCTTGAAGGGGTCGTTGCGCAATAGCATTTTGGCGCTTTGGCGAGACGCTTCGATTTTCTCCCAGGGCGCGGCGAGAGACAGGCACTCTGCCATCTACGCGCGATTATAAGTTTCGCTCGCTGTCCTGGCCCTTGGTCGACGTCTGCGTCGTGTCGCGTTGTTACGTACGCGTCGTTCCCCGAGCAGCCAGCTTTCTTCGGCGCTGATTTGGTTGCCACTTGTCCAAGGACACCTGCGGGCGACGATCAGTTCTCTTGCCTCCCGCTTGTTTCTTCCACCCAACGCTTCGGCGGCACCCGTGGGACTTGGGGCAGGCTCGTCCTCCCGCTGGTCTGCATCCACGCGATTGCGCTTTGGTCTCTCTCGCTCATTCTCTCTCTGTATCTCTCCCTCTCTCTCTCTCTTTCTCTCTCTCTCTCTCTACGTCTGCTGTGCTTATAAAAATATGCGCATCCACATACACATATACGCTCACGCATGCAAATATGCGTGTGCATGTGTGTACACATACATGTGTGTGCTAGCAGACGGGCTTGACGGCTCGCTCCCCTAAGATGAGGGGGCCCAAGGGAATTCGAGAGTAGGGAAGGCTTTCCAGCATCCGGTGTGCATCACATGATAATTTTGGACATTAGGGAAGGGACTTGGGATGAACCGCGCCCCAGCTGACGTCTTTGATGGCGACAAGCCTTTGCAATTCCGCCTTGAGAACCTCAAGCTGACATTCAAAGATAGCGTGTGGGTCAATCGTGGCCATCGGACACGGCTCCCGCAGATGGTTTGGGCGAGCTTTGGCCCAGCAGCCACAAGCCCCACAGACAATGAATGACGCCCTCTTCCACAAACTATGCGGGCCGTGCATTTGCTTCCCCCCTGGTCCGCGGAGTTTTGCGCTCAGGGAGCGGGCCCAGTCCGAAATTAGATGCGGCTTTCTTACAGCGAGCCTCGGCCACGGCATCTGCAGGAGGCTAACACTCGGAAGGGTTGCGTTGAGAGAACGGTTCGCGCGGGAGTCTTTTCGCAGAGATAGTGATTGGATACATTCAGGCTATCCCTGAGCATGGGGGATCAGGAAGAAAGTCAGGAGGGGAAGAAGGAGGAACAAGACGGAGGATGATGATGAGGCAGAAGTTTGGGAATAGAGAGTTGTTGATGGGAGTGTTGGCCTCCTGCTACTCTGCTTGCTCCGCCTCCTTTTGCTCCGCCTCCCCTTGTTTGATTCCCGTTGCTCCGCGATGTTGGAAAGGCATCCGCGTGACAGTTGGGGCGTTGAGCGGCTCCCATATCCAGTTGCGCAGCCCTTCTGCTGACAGGCTCGCCCTCACCTGCGACAGTGTCGCCTAGAGGCTCGAGTACGGAATTGTGTCCCTTCGGGCAGATCGCCCGTGCGCGGCTGTATTCTTCTGCATCGTTGCCGCCGTTGGCTGTTCCGTCTCGGCCTGCTCTCGCGAGTGGTGTGCCGTCCGCGCTCCGCCCTCTCTCTGGAGATTGCACGGGCGGGGATTCGAAGACTGGGGGCGCATGGCGCGCGGTTGGCATGTCGGTGCGCATGGCGCGCGGTTGGCCTGTCGGTGCCACGACACGCTCTTCCCGTGAGGGAGGAACGACACCACCACCGCCAGCGGGTCACCGTTGGCGAAGAGGTCCACGATGTTTTCCGAGCTGGAAGTGAGAGACGTCTTGAGCGTCGCGCCCCAAAGAAGGGGCACTGCACCACCAGGAGGACCCTCCCTGATGCTCGCGGCAATCTCGATGGTGTTGGTGCCGCCGTTCTGTGCTCCTGCCTCGGAGGTGAAGAGATCCATCGCTCCTGGCTCACGTCTGCGAGCGCCGTGCTCGCGAGCCTCTGCGCCGCCCCCGCCCCTTTGGCGGCAGGTCCTTCCTGCTCCTGGCGGCCTGGCTCTGCTGCCTGGCCAGCGGCCTCGTGCATCGGCGCCCCCCAGAGGATGGAGGAAGGAAGGAAGGGAGGGATGATGAAGGAGAAGAGGGGAGGCGGGGCAGGAGGATGCAGGCGGATGCAGCAAGCAGATGGTGCCGATGAATTGGGTAATTTAGGAGGGCGAGGGATGGGACAAACATGCATGGGATGATACCATGTCCCCGGCAGACTCGGCTGGGAGTGAAGGGCCCCGCCAGATGCATCAATATAGTCGGCTCAGGCATGTAAATTGCAAGCCCGCCGCGGGTGACGTTCTTATGTTGTCCTTTGCTGTTGCGTAATCGCAGTGCGTTAATCAAATGAACTGTCAACCGCAGTGTTTCCCCAACTCTCCTGTGATGGGTTCTCGTTTTGCATTACAGCACTCCTCGCGCGTCTCCTTTCTTACCTCTGCCTTCCCACCGCCTCCACCCTGGGACCTGCACGTTCCCTACCACCCAGACCAGACCCCGCGGCGACCACCTGTGCAACCGTCGCCACTTCCGTGGGCTCCCAACGGGCGCGATTGGCTTGCCATCAAGGGACATGGAGTCTTAGAGGATATGGGTCCAGAGCGGTGGTGGCTGGCCGAAGTCGGGCTCCCGGGGCCCTCCCAGGCCCCCGGGCTCTTGAGCAGAACTCAACCACGCGCTTTGGGGGTGGGGGGGGGGGAGCAGGGCTTCTTTGGAACTTCCCGTGCTTTTTTATAGGGGCGGTCCTCATCTACAGATGTAGGGCCGACGCCTTCTAAGAAGCAGCCTCCTTCCAAGCACCCTTCCTCCTCCCTCCATCCCCTTGTGTGCGCCGCCACAAACCGCTTGGGCTCCGCCCCGCCCCCGCGCGTGCTCAGGGGCGCCACCGCGGCCCACCGGCGGACTCCCCGCCGGCACTGGGCGCGGAGGCCGCCATGCGCGCCGCGGCGCCGCGCCCGGCGGCGCTGGCCGCGCGGGCCGCCCCCGACGCGCGATGGCCGCAGGGGGGCGCCGCCCGGGCGGGCCCGGACATGAGCCGAGGCGGGGCATTCGGGGGGCACGTGTTGATGGGGGGCGATCAATTGGGGGGGGGGGGGCAGCGAGGGCTTCGTAAACGTGGTCCTTTAGGGCCTCTACAGGAGCCCCTTAGGGCCACAAAGGTGGCTTTTAGGGTCCGAGAAAGGCATCTTTCCTCCCCTTGGTCATCACCCCCCATTAATTCGCTCCCAAGGCATGTTCCTTGGATTGCTCATGCGGTGAGAGACCTTCGGGGCCATGACCGCCCCACCGCGAGCGCCGCCACGCCGAGGGGCCCCGTGGGCCAACGCAGTCGGGGTCGGCGGCCAACGCAGTCGGGGGGTGGGTGGGAGGGGGGGCGGGGTCGAGAGCGCGGCTCCGCCTCCTCCTCGCCCCCTGCCTCCCCTCTCCTGCCCTTACCTGCTCCTCCCTCGCTCCATTCCTGCTGCCTCCCTCTTTCGCAAGTTGTCGGCACAAGTCAATTGGGCGGCGACAACGACGATGGCGATTACGATGGTGACGATAAGGGTGATGAATAGGATGACGATGATGATGGTGACGAGGGTGATGATGGTGTGCATGACGACTGCCAGGGAGATGTAAACGCTGATCGTGATGATGGTTATGGTTGTGGTGATAACGGCGGTGGCCACGATGTTGCTGGCGATGATGATGATTATGTTGGTGAAGATGATTGGGGAATGCTCGCGCCGACATTTGACGAGGACGACGACTTCGACGATAACGTTGATGACGGCGCAGGTGATAATGACGACATTGGTGGTGATGGTTACGATGACGATGGCAATGGTGTCTTCGCAATGATGCTAAGAATTGTGCTGATGCGGGGGAAAAGAACGTGCGCGCCTGCATTACTTCTACATGCCCAAGTCGTGTCAGAACTTCGTGGTGGTCGCATGCTTTGAACACCTCGGAGTTGGCATGGGCAGAAACTTGCGGTTTTAACCTGAGTCGAGATGCGCGCGCGGACGCGCGCGTGTGAGCCGCATGCTACTATTTGACAGCGTTGCCGGGCGCGCGATAGTTGCTGCACGTTGTTGGCATTCGCGCGCGTAGAGCCCGCATTGGTTCGCTTGACAGAGTACAAGCTATTGTCCGATAGTTTAGGCAAACCAAGTGTTTATACATCAGCCAGGTAGAGTTAACCATTTGTTTTGAATGATTTTGGTATGCACGCGCGGCGGTGCACGCATGCGCTCCGCGCCGTTTTTGCTGCAATGGGTTATGTGAACACTTCCTTTTGGGCAACGCATTTGCATGCGTAATACTCCTTGAGAGGGATGAGAGGGGGTTTGATACCTGCCTCCTTTGCGTGCTGCTATACAGCAGTCGCAGTGAACGATCGTGCAGTCGGACAGTTGGATAACTATATGAAGATGGGTGCTGTCAAGTCTGGTTTGACAGGTCGTATGTTCTGATGAATAAGTCTTTGTGGGCATCCGCGCGTGGCCTCATCTCATGCTCGATCAAGCATCCCACCCACCTACCCGAGATTAGATGGTAAAACTATAGTCCATGAGTGCAGCTATCCATCTGAACGTGCTCGCAAGCTTCAAGTGGCACAGTGACTCGCGGACCCTGCTCATGCAGATCCACGAATCGGGCGAACGAGTCGTGATGGTGACGGCGACATCGACGACGACGACGACGATGATGATGATGATGTTGATGATGCTGATGATGATGTTGGTGATGGTGATGGTGGTGATGGTGATGGTGATGGTGATGATGATGATGATGATGATGATGATGATGATGATGATTATGATGATGATGGTGATGGTGATTACGGTGGCTATGGCGAGGCCGATGCCATCAATGATGACGATAACGTCGACGCTGATGCTGATGATCATGTCGATTGAGGTGATGATGATGGTGATGATGACGATGGCACTGATGACACTGGCGATGATTGTAACGATTGCGCTGATGAGGATGATGAGAAAGCGCGCGCGCACGAATTCACGAGGTCTGATATATATATATATATATATATATATATATATATATATATTGAATGACCATCGGCTTTCGAATGTTTTTGAACACGTGTGGTGACATGCTTTACCAAGTCAACAATTACTGTTTGACAGCGTTGGCGGGTGTGTTATGGTTGGTGTCTATTGTTACCATGCGCCCGCGTGTTTCCCTTCATCGTTCTCGTATGATTTCAGCGGGTGGGCACGCGCAGAAGTCGGACACATTTCGTAGAAGAAGCAGCGTACGGGTTGTAATAGTTCTGAGCAGCTTTATCTTGAGGTTGTACGAAGGCCATTGTTTTTTTGCATGTATTGACATGCGCTCACGGCGGCACGCGCATGCGGCCCGCATGATGTCACTTGATTGGGGCTGTTGCCAAACGTATTTTTTAGACCCACGCATGCCAGCCATTAGGGTTTGGGGGGGTATATGCGGACATGCAATATCCCGAGGGGGACCGATTACCCGAGCATAGGGATCGGTGGTAGTGTACCGGGCCCAATCCTGGAACTCTCAGCCATTGACCTAGAAGAGAAGCTACAAGCCCAGACGGTGCATGCCCCGCCTGGGGGGAGCGAGGTGTGTGATGGCGCTGTTTGTTGCCTTGTCGCACTCTGTGCTGTCTTCCGGGCCCTGAGCGCCCACCCACAGGCCGCTGGCTGGCGAAACACGGAGAGGCTGGCATCCGGTGCGGAGCCGCCGGCGTGCGCCTGGGCGGCATGCCCGCTCCGCCGCAGGAGCTCGGCCGCCGCGGGCAGAAATCGAGAGTCTCGTCCTGTCTATCGTCTTTGCTCTCTGCCCCCCTCCCTCCCACATCAAACTCCCTCCCTCCTCCCTCCCCTCAAGCACAGGTGGGCGGGGCGCGTGGTACCATCTTTTGGCTCCTATTCGCTCGCGCTAGCCCAGCTTCCCGCCTTCTCGTCGGCGTTTGGGGGACATCAGGGACTCTGGACCGTGTTGGGAGTCGTTTGCTCACATCGGTATCGTCCAGCCTCTCCTGGCGACGAAGGGGAGCGAATTCGCGATTTCAAGTCTTATTATTCCGGGGCTGTGGCGCAGGCCTAACAAGCTGGTGGGTATCACTACGGGTTTCGCGTGGTGTCGCTCCTCCAGTTCGGGCTGCATGTGGCGTGGCTTTGGAATGTTTCAGTATGGGCTCATTTCGTCAGCTATCGTTTGGGCATCTCCCAGCTCCGCCAGGGGAGGGTATGCCTTTCGGTTTCTGGTGTTGGGGCCTCCATTTCTCGTGCATCAAGCGTGAGCCAGACATCATCAGCTATTACGCTGGGGTCTCCCACCTCCGCCAGGGGAGGGTATTTCAGGTGCTTTTGGTGGTTATGGTTGACTGTCTTCGTGCAGTGTTTCAAGTTGGTGCAGAAGGCTCGGCTGGAAGGAATGAACAGTTTGGGTGGTAAGTTTGGCTGCGTTGCTGTCTTGCGAGGCTGTCTGCGGAGGAGGCGATCTTTGTGGTATACGTGAGAGGTAGCCCGTTGACCTGCGGAGAGGGCCGAATCGAGCCAAGTCCGTTTCAGTTTAGCTTGGTATGCTTCGTTTGTTGAGGTGCCATTCGAATTTGGAGGGATTCGCTATGTGACAACGCTTTGCGCTCCATAGACTTCGTTGTCGGGTTCTTCATGTACCTTCTGCTGAGGTTCCTGTACTGGGTCGTCTCGTTCGCGGGTTTGCTCAGGGGGTGGCCTCAGCGTAGTTGCCTTGTAAATATATCACTACGTGATGGCGGAAATCCTGGAAATCCTCCCTCCTCCCTCCCTCCCTCCCTCGTCCCTCCTCCCTCCCCCCTCCCTCCTCCCCTTCTCCTCTCCCTCTCCCTCCCCTCCCCCGCTCGCACAGGTACAGGTCATCCCCTCTCCCTCCCTCCCTCTCTCCTCTCTGTTCTCTGCCTCCCAGCTCGCCATCACTCGTGCTCATCTCCGAAGAAGAACGGCATGGACAGACTGTCGACGATCCGTGAGGACCTCCGAGAGATCCTGTTTATAAAATTGTTGGTTCCGCTTAGTCATGCTTATCATGCTTCCTCCTGTTCTGGCGAAGTGCAGCGTTTCACATGCCAATATTGGAGCCTCGTTGGGCCGTGATGGGGCCGTCTTGGGCCATCTTCGTGGCGATCTGGGGCCATCTTGGCATGTTGGACCCATCTTCGGCGGCATCTTGGGTGTCATGGAGGCTATCGAGGCATGTGTCATGTCGGCGGCCGGTGCACGGGGCCGACTGGCTTGCGTGGAGCTTTGGGGGAGGACCTAAATGCCCCGCCAGCGGATCGAAGACGTTTGCGGAGAGGCGTCGCCGCCCCCCCCTGCCGTTGGAATCGCCTGTGTCGTGAGGTGCTGAGGGGCGGTGCTGCACCGCTAGTGGGCTGGGTGCTCCCCGAGCCACTGCGGAATCCACTGGGGGCACACTTGGAAGGGGCCTTCTGTGGCCGCCGTCTTGGGGTTGTCTCGAAGTTCTTTTCAGGCCTGCTGGGTCTTCTCGGGTCTTCCTCGGGCTCTCAGGCCCGCAAGGCCCTTTCGTTCCCACCCTCTTGGCAATACATTGTACCCCTTTGGGGGTTTTGCTGGGCCGGATTGGAGGCCTCTTGGGCCGTCATTGGGGCCCCCTGTGCCGTCTTGGGGCTGGTTTGGCATCATCTCGGACCGTCTTAGTGCGATCTTGGGGGGCCTCTTGAGCAAGTTTGGGCTGCCAGCTGTGCGAAAACGCGAGAGCGCGACCATGCTTCAAACGCATACGGTGAGTCACTAAGCGCATACGGTAAGTCACTAATCTTGAATGGTGCTTTCCTGGGGTGTCTTCGAGGCCTCTTGGGCTGTCCTAGCCATTTTGGACGGATGCGCCCCGAAGGCCCGACGGACGCCAGATTTGCCGTGATCCCGCTGGAGGGTGGAAGGCGCTGTTGGTCGAAGGGCTTTTGGGAACCTTCTTGGGAAGGGCCTACACGGCAGTCTAGAGTCTGGCACGCCAAGCTTCCTGGGTAGATCACAGGGGGTGGTGGATTGAAGATGCCTCCGGCATTCACTGCGACCCCCTGTTCCCTGAAAGAGTCTATGTGGTGGAATGTCGGGCGTTGGCACGGCTACCCGAGATGTTGGGCAAACCATTCGGGGAATGCTGGGGAGGTGCACTGGGGCCGTCAGGGGGCTGTCTTGTCTTTCGTTTCGGGCCTCTTGGGTCTTCTTGGTGGTCTCCTGAGGCTATCTTGGGGGCTCTCTTGGGCCGTCTCGGGGCGATCTTGGGCTGTCTGCAGCCTTCGGAGGCCATCTTTGGGGCTCTCTGGTCTGTCGTGGAACCGCCTTGGACTCCTTCAGGGCCGTCTTAGGGCTCTCTTGGGCCATCTTGGGCCCGTTCTTGGCGTTCTTTGGGGGCCATTATGGACGTCTTGGCCCGGCCTTGAGGGCTTCTTTGGATGTTTCGAACGCTCTGGCGACCAAGAAGGCCACAGTCAGAACAATTTGCCCAAATCAAGGGGGGATCAAGGGTTCATTGCTCTTTGCCTATTTCGGCCCTCCTGGAGGTCCTCTTGGAGCCCTCTGTGGCCGTCTTGCAGGCCTCTTGTGTCGGCCTGCGTGGGCCATCTTGGAGACATGAGGAGCCACTTTGGTGGACATCAGGGGCCAGCTTGGAACGTCTTGGAGGCGATTTTGGCCTTCCAGGTGGCCGGGGGCTCGGGCCAAATTTCATTGGCTTCGTGTGGCCCTTCGAGCTCTCCTTTTCAAGACCCTCTCTGGCTTTCTTGTGGGCCTCGTGGATTTCTCTTAGGGGAGCGGGGGCCGTCTTGGGGCGGTCTCGAGAGCCTCTTGGGCTGTCTGGACGCTCGTGAGACCAGAAGGGCGAGAACGTATATTTCACATGTAAATCGCATGCTTTTAGACTGGGCGTCTTCCTGGGGCACTTCTTTCTCGCACCCTCTAAAAAGGCCCAAGAGGAGATCGCTCAAGAGGCACCCCGACAGTCGAGAGGAACGGCCGTATCGATGACACGCGTTGCACGTTTCAAGTCAATCGTCCAGGGCCTGTATGCAGTATGGTGGAAGGCCGACGCATCTCCAACGCAGCCTCGCCCCATTCAAAGCAGTGATGATTGATGACGGTGTGGCGTGGTAGCAAAGAGGCGCGGTAGTGCGTCCGCCGCTCTTATGCTTGTGTCCGCTCATGATGTCTCGTTTTCAGCACGGAACGCCCTGCTTGCCGTCATCGGGCGGCGGTCGCCCGGGCAGGTGGGCCTCGCGGTTCCTGCCAGTGGTGGTTTCGGGCCTTGTGAGCCCCGTCTTCCGCTCGCGCTTCGGCGGGCGGGGCAGGCAGCGGCCCGCGCTACTTCCCGCCGCGCGCAAGGGTGTCCAGCCTGCGGGGCGTGGCTCGAGGAGCCGCGGGCTCTCGGGCCCATCGCGCTTATGGCTGCGAGTCGACTGTCGGGTCGCCCCGACCCTTCGGGTAGGTGGCCCTTGGCGCCCACCCCGCCTTCGACGGCGCGAAAGCTCCTCTCCCTCCTCTTCCACCTTCTCCCCCCTGTCCTTTGAGGCGGAGGAGCAGGATGTTCACCTGAAGAGTGGAGGAGCTCGCGCGCCGATGCGCCGCGCCTTGCGCCGTGGTGCAGCGCGAACTCATTCCTCGATCGGACGTTCGAGGCGTTGCTACGCACAGCTCCTGCGATCGCCCCCCGGGAGTCTCAGCCGCCGCGACAGAGACGCCCCTCGCGCCGCATCCGCCGCCCGCGCTCCCCCGCGGCGCGGACGAGCCGCCGCGAACAGTGAAATGCCCACTCCCGCTCCCTCGCCTTTCAGTTCTCCGCGCGGCCCATTCCGCCGGCGGGCGCCTGACAGCAGGCGACGGGAGCCGACGGCGCGAAGACAATTGCGCTCGGGATGGAGGAGTCGGAGTGGGTGAACCCTTCTAACATCCATCTCCTCTCCACTCCCCCCCCTCCGTCGATGCTTCGCCTTGGCTCGCCTGCGTCGTCATGCGACTCCGCTCCCGCGCGGGCATCGCAGACCCTTCGGCTTCATCCGATGCTGCGGTTGCCCCGTCGATTGGCGCGGTGCGTTCCAGCGATGCCGTGGCTGCGTCGCTTGCGGGCGGGGTTCCCCGGTCCCCCCTGCCGTTGGCATAGTGCGGCCCAGCGATGCTGCTGCGGCCCCGCAGGGATTTGCGCGTGCTGCGGCAGGGTCGGTCGAAAATGCACCTCCTCGCAAGCGTCCGCGGCGCGGCCGTCGTCGCGGCCCGCGCGGCGTGGCGTCGCGACAGCTCTTGGCACCCGGCCGCGGGGGAGTCCCGAGGCTGCCTCGCCTTCGTGCGCCAGCTTCCGACCCCCTCCAGGGCTGGGGCCGCCGTTGCAGCCGGGCGCCTTGCGGGCGGGCCCGCCGCCAGGGTTTGCTGCCTTACAGGTCCGGGTTTTGCCGCCGCCGTCCACGCGTTCGATGACGATCGGGTCTCTGCGGGGGCCGGGGTGCTGACCACTTCAGTCCGTGGTGGTTCGGGGGGCGCCGCCGCTTATAGCGCGCCCCCCAATGCGATGCCGCCCACTGCCGTCGATGACATGGCGGGCGCGCTTACCGCGTCAGTCCATTCGGCCGCGGCCCCAGGCTGCGTTCCCACTTCCTCGGGGCACTTGCTCCTGGGGCGCGGCTGAAGCCCAGGTGGGGGGGCACGCCTCAGCTTCGCCAGTAAGGAAACCGGCTGTCGGGCGCCTTTCTCGGCGCGCCGGGCTCCGGGGCTCCTGCCCGCAATCA